GCAGAGACCTGAGGACTGGACTAATGTGGTCGTACTTCCTGGTTCTTGTCAGGACTCGAGCTGCTGCATTTTGAATGTACTGCAGCTGTTTTACAGCCTGTTTGGACAGACCTGTGAGCAGGCCATTGCAGTAGTCTAACCTACTGGAGACAAATGCATGGATAAGAATCTCCAAGTCTGCTTTAGACACTATGTTTTTGATCCTGGCAATGTTTTTTAGATGGTAAAAAGCTGCTGATGTTACTGATTTGATGTGGCTATTAAAATTTAAGTCTGAGTCCAGTATTACCCCTAGATTTCTGACCTTGTTTGAAGGTTTTAGGGAGAGAGACTGTAGGTGACAGATGACGCTCTCTCTTTGTTTCTGGGGACCAAAGACAATCATTTCAGTTTTGTCTGCGTTTAGCTGAAGGAAGTTGTTTTGCATCCACTCACTGATCTGTTGGATACAGTGAAGGAGTGAGTCCACTGGTCCATGTTCTCCTGCAGTCAGTGAGACATAGATCTGAGTGTCGTCTGCATAGTTATGATAGGAAACTTTGTTTCTGCGTATTAACTGACCTAACGGCAGCATGTAGAGATTGAACAGAAGAGGTCCCAGGATCGACCCCTGTGGGACTCCACAGGTCAGGGCCATATGATCTGAGACACAGTTTCCAATCTCCACAAAGTACTTCCTGTCTTCAAGGTAAGACCTAAACCAACTTAGGGCGGTGCCAGTGACGCCAACCCAGTCCTCTAGTCTCTGTAAGAGGATCTCATGGTCGACGGTGTCAAAGGCAGCACTTAGATCTAACAAGATTAAGATTGAGACTTTGCCTGCGTCAGTGTTCAGCCGGATATCGTTTGTAACCTTAACGAGAGCAGTCTCAGTGCTGTGGTGGGGTCTAAAGCCGGACTGAAACATATCAAATGAGTTGTTGATTATAAGAAATCTAGTAAGCTGTAGGTAGACAACTTTCTCAAGGACTTTCCCCATAAATGGCAGATTTGAGATGGGACGATAGTTGTTAAGTACAGTGGCATCCAGACTGCTCTTTTTTAGCAGGGGCCTGATGACTGCAGTTTTCAGGGCCTTTGGGAATATTCCAGAATGAAGGGACATGTTTACTATCTGTGTGAGTGAAGGTAACAGACTGCTCAGAACAGACTTCAGAAATCTAGTGGGTAGTACATCCAGGCTGCATGTGGAGGAGCTCAAACTGGAGATTATCTCTTGGACAGTTTTATCATTTACAGGTGCAAAGTGAGTTAGCTCAGAGAGCCTTTCTGGCTGTTGGATGGTTATCTGTGGATTGGAGACAATGGCGCTTTTGATGCCTTGAACCTTGTCATTGAAAAAATTAGCAAACTCATTGCATTTACGTTTGGAAGTAAGCTCTAATGGCATTTGAACAGGGGGGTTTGTTAATCTATTAACTGTTGAGAACAGAACACGCAGATTGTTGCTGCAGCCTTCAATCATTTCAGAAAAATACCTTTCTCTCGTACTACGTAGCACCCGGTTAAACTCGCACAACTTATCTTTGAAGATCTCGTAATCTACCTGGAGGTTGGACTTGCGCCATTAAGGTGTGCTTGTTAAGTATTAATAAGGTATTAATAGACATTAGCAACATGCTTATAGATTGCTTATATGTACTTATAAACATATTAATAAGCTGCTCATTTCACTATTCTCTAAATGATGTTGTTCTAGTTATATGCTTTTAAGCATTTAATAAGTAATTAGTAAGATACTTATTAAAGGAGGAATATGTTTATAAATATATGAATAAGCTGCTTATTAAACTATTATCGATACCATGTTAATAGGCCACTAACACTATGCCCATAAAGATATTAATACGCTGCTTATTAATAGGCAATAGTGGTAATAGGCCACTAAAAATATGCGTTAATAAATTGCTTATTACACTATTTTGCAGTACCCTAATCTAAAGCGAGGAGCATTTTTGTTAATGCAGAAAAAAACACAACAATGATCTAAGATGTTTTTATTAATTCAAACAGCAACAATTAAAGTCTAAATGAAAAAAAATATCAAAATTAAGTTTGTGCCAAAAGTTTGTTAGTAACTTCAAGGAGCCATGATGAACCCACTCATGCTCCGACCTGCTCTGTTCATGAATTTGGCTTTGGCAAAACAGTGAATCAACTGACTTCACGAGCCTGAGAGATTAGCGGACAGAGGTGGGAACCTAAGGGTACCTAACAATACGATACGATACACGATACAAAGCTCACGATAAAGATTACAATAACGATTTTATCACAATATGACGATTATTGATATATTGGTCAGAAATATACAATATGCCAATTTATAGCAAAAAATAAAATAAAAAATACTCTTTATGTCATGATAAATGGAATGGAGATGCGTAATGTAGCCATATATTAAGTATTGATACCAATAAAAACGAAATTGATATTGATACTTGGCAAATGCATATCGATAATTGAATCGCGGGAGAAAGTATCGTCACACCCCTATTAGCGGAACTCGCCTATTTTTGGGCATTGTCTGGTCCTACCGGTTCTGCGCAGTTGACGAGCTCCCATGATGCTTTGCGCCAAATACGCGTGCGTGGCTGTCATGCACATGCACATAGGGGCCGCGCTCTGACCAATCAGAGCTGCTGATCAGAGCGGGAGTTAGAGCGGGAGTAAGAGCCAGACGAGTAGAGTTTGTGCCAGTAAAATGTGGATTTAAAGAAAACTGAAGGATTTAAGAAGAAAAAAAGTTCAGGATGACAAGGGACACTAAAAGCCCCACAAAATCCGACCTTTATGAAAGCTGTAGGTTCTCTGTCAGCTGAGGTCGAGCTGTTTTAGTTTACATTGAGTTCTATGGGGACAATTTCTGGGTGCCCACGTGAATTTAGTTTGCAGTACCACGAGAATCTCCCGAGCTACAAGCTAGTAATACCCTATCAAGTTATTATAATAGATCCATGTATACAACGCACCTGTGGCACAACCATGGAACTATAATAATAACTGGATAGTGTATTCCTAGCGTATAGCTGTCCCACCCATGGGCACAGGGGGCGCTGTGGTACTGCAGACTAAATTCACGAGGGCTACCCAGAAAAAGTCCCATAGAACTCAATGTAAATTAAAACAGCTCGACCTCAGCTGACAGAGAACCTGACAGAGAACCCACAGCTTTCATAAAGGTCGGATTTTCTGGGGATTTTAGTGTCCCTTGTCATCCTGAACTTTTTTTCTTCTTAAATCCTTCAGTTTTCTTTAAAGTGGTTCTCACCCCCGCTCCTCGGAGCTTACGTCACTCACATTTCCTGTTCAAATCTTCCTCTAAATGGGCGTAGCCTGGAGGACTAAAGGGGGCGTGAACGAGACTGGGCCGTTTATATAGCTCTGGGCGGGGGGCTGCTGACGTCAGGTATCAGGCGCCAGATTCAAAATTCAAATGTAGTAATACAGGTCGCCAGCAGATGGCGCCTCACAGATGGTTTTAGGCAGAAAGTTTAACTTTCAACTAATTTGCACCAAAGTGACAAAATTATGACCAGGATATGTAGACAACACTATTGGACACTCATTTATACCGTTTATCAGCACACAAAAAAAGTGGATTTGAGGGTGAGTTGTCCTTTAAATCCACATTTTACGGCCACAAACTCTACTCGTCTGGCTCCCGCTCTTACTCCCGCTCTAACTCTCGCTCTCAAAAATAGGCGAGTTCCGCTAATCTCTCAGGCTCGTGAAGTCAGTTGATTCACTGTTTTGCCAAAGCAAAATTCATTAACAGAGCAGGTCGGAGCATGAGTGGGGGCATCATGGCTCCTTGAAGTTACTAACAAACTTTTGGCACAAACTTAATTTTGATATTTTTTTTCATTTAGACTTTAATTGTTGCTGTTTGAATAAATAAAAACATCTTAGATCATTGTTGTGTTTTTTTCTGCATTAACAAAAATGCTCCTCGCTTTAGATTAGGGTACTGCAAAATAGTGTAATAAGCAGTTTATTAACGCATATTTTTAGTGGCCTATTACCACTATTGCCTATTAATAAGCAGCGTATTAATATCTCTATAGGTATATTGTTAGTGGCCTTTTAACATGGTATCGATAATAGTTTAATAAGCAGCTTATTCATATATTCATAAACATATTCCTCCTTTAATAAGTATCTTACTAATTACTTATTAGATGCTTAAAAGCATATAACTAGAACAACATCATTTGGAGAATAGTGAAATGAGCAGCTTATTAATATGTTTATAAGTACATATAAGCAATCTATAAGCATGTTGCTAATGTCTATTAATACCTTATTAATACTTAACAAGCACACCTTAATATAAAGCGTTACCAAAATTTTGGCTGATTTTAGTCTAATCATAGACTAAAATAAACTATGATTTAGTCCAATCATAGAATGATAATTTCCATACGGTGGAAGTCAGTGGGGGGGTTGACTTTTGTTGACATAGTATACTGTATATAGAATTGTCCACAACGAGAATACCTGGTACCAAAGAAAGTACTGTCAACATGTGGACCAGCACCTTGGTCTATTTTTATTATTATATACCAGATTTATTATAGTTTAGTTTATATTAGGGGCGACAGTAGCTCAGTTGGTAGAGCATTGGCCTTTAGGCCTGAAGGTCATGGGTTTCGTTTCCCCACCTCGACACCTTCTCCACGGACTCCCACTGATGACTGCTGTCGTTGTGTCCTTGGGCAAGACACTTAACCCCACTTTGCCCGAAGCCCCCACTGAAAGATCTCAGCTCCTGTGGACTCACCACCTGCAGGAGGATCAGTGAGGGGCTGGTGCTTAGTGTAATGGGTGCAGCTCTGACTCCCCCCCCCCCCCGACCCAGAAATGGATTAAGGGGAAGAAGATGGATGGATAGTTTATATCCTAGAAATGTGTGTGAGTATGCATATTTATGCTGTTTTTTTTGTTTTGTGTTGTTAAAAAATAATCTATATAATCGAATAAAAAAAAAAAATACTTACATTCAACAGTGAGAGAGGCGCTGCACTGCAGGTGTCCCACCGTGGCTGTGTACTCTCCTGCATTGGTGCTGTCCACGTTCTGCAGGATGAGCTTGTGAGCTTTCCTCTCTGTCTGGATCTTACATTTCTCGTTGGATTTGAGCTCTATTCCGTTGAACAGCCATGTGACTGGGATGTTGTCATGAGAGAGGCTCAACTCAAAGGAAGCGGTGGAGTCCAGCAGCGCATTGACATCCTTTATTTTCTTGACAATCTTGATGGCTGCAGAGAAATAAATATAATGTAATATAATGTGTATATTGTGTATACGCTGGTTAATAAATGCATAAAATACTTACTCTCAACATTAAGTCTTGCATTAGCAGACAGTTTTCCCAGTTTGAAGGAGTAGACAGACTCATCTTGGGTATTGCAGTTCTTAACTCGGAGAGTGTGGACAACTCCATCAGTTGTGACTTCAAATTTGTCATCACTTTGGAGCTCCACACCATTTCTGATCCACTGGGTTCCCTTAACATCAGGGTGGGTCAGCTCCAGGATGAAAACCGCCTCCTGGGTCTCAGTCACAGTTTGGTTTCTCAGAGTTTTCTTGATCTTCACAGCTAAATATTAAAAAGGGAGATTTCAATCACACATAAACATCTATAATTTTATGTCATTTTGAGTTCTTGCTTACCTTCCACCCCAAGGTTGGCTGTGGTTTTGGAGTTTGCCACCTGGTAAGTGTACTCTCCCACATCTTGAGGTCTGGTGATGACAATGACCAGGCGTCTGACTGCTCCATCAACTTCACTGACCACAATCTCATTGAAGTCAACAAACTGGCCATCCTTCATCCACTTGCCTTCAGCGTCTGCATTAGCCACCTCACATTCCAGGACTGCAGTCTGGGATTCGGCCACAGTCACATCCTGCAGAGGACGGGTAATGGCACCACCTAGTGGTAAAAGTGGAGACATTTTCAAAATGTTGCCTTCATTGGACAGAAAAAGGATGTTTGGGATAGAAAAGTATTAATTCCTACCGGAGACTGTGAGCGTGGCACTGGATGTCTTTTGTCCAGCGTGGAAAGTGTACTGTCCCTCCTCATCCTTCATAGTGTCCATGACAGTAAGAGAATATACTTTTCCCTTGGACTCCATCTTGTGTTTGGGTCCAGCTTTGAGCTGCTGGTTCTTGAAAGTCCAGGCTGGGTCGATGCCAGGGTGAGACACCTCAACCTCAAATGTAACATTCTGAGACTCTGAGCAAACTTTATTCTCCATATCCCTGACAATATGCACCTCTGCAAAATACAAAGTATGAACAGGAGAAAACATAGGATTCTACCTTTTGCCAAAAAAACAACTATACCTTCAACAGACATCCTGCAGCTGGTGTCAACTTTCCCAACCACCAGTTTGTAGTGGCCCTGGTCTGAGGCATAAGTCCTGGTGAAAACAAGGCGTTGCTTGGATCCCTTAGCTATCATCTGGACCCTGTCACTTGCCGTTATTTGCTTATCGTTGTGATACCATTTCACTGAACTGACATCCTGGGCAGAAATCTTAGCTTCCAGAACAGCTTTAGTGCCCTCAATACAAGACACATCTTTCAGTGGAATCACAATCTCGATTGCTGCAATAAAAATAATTTGATTATTAGCTATGTTCTTCAGACCTTAAATGTGAATTTTTCAAAGCATAAACAATATTAAGTTTATGTCTTACTCTGAACACCCAGTTTGCATGAAGTGGAAATCTCCTGGGCAGGGACCACAAAGGAATACTTAGCAGCATCCTCCTTGTTGACGTTTTCAACCAGCAGCTTATGAATCATTTTGTCAATGACGATGTGTACGCGGTCAGAAGCAGACAGGGCCTGGCCATTCTTCATCCAAGTGCCCTCAACGTTCTCCTGGGAGAAACGTACCTCCAGCTGAGCTATGTCTCCCTCACACACAGTGAGGTCATTAAGGGGCTGCATCAGCGTCACAGGACGAACTGAGTCGGTAAAGAAAAGTTACATTATTACCAAGCATTATTGCATAACGGCTCAAATCAAAGAAAATCTAATCAAACCCCATCCGGAAAATTACTTCTAAATTCAAAACATTCTCACTATGTGGACATTATCTATATGGAGCTTTCTGTGGTGCTAGGGAGAGCTCCATCAAATTCTGGTCCAACACAATTGACAATATCAAGTCAACTTTCTTTTTTTTATTTTTCTTTACAGAAGGTTTGTACTGTATATTTGTTTCATAATCATTCCTGACCTTGTATGTGTCAATGTTAGTTGTCAATCTAATCTATATAGTCAACCAAACAATTACAAATTAAATGTCTTAGTCAATGCCCGTACCTTTCATCTTGAGAGAAGCGCTGGTCTTCAGGTCTCCACACACAAATGTATACGTTCCTTGGTCCTCCTTCTTCACATCTTTCACAGACAGAGTGTGTCTACCTCTGCGTGATGTCATGACATGTTTGCTGCCATGTGACAACTCCTTATCTCCAAAGAACCACGTTCCCTCGACATCTTCACGGGACACCTCCACTTCAAACTCTCCAGCATAGGTCTCAGGCACCTCAATGCTCTCCATGCGTTTGACCATCTCAAGAGCAGCACCTGGAATCAGCGGTGTCATGGTAAGTATAATGTCTTCTAAACATCAAGATGCAAGACTGAGATAAGGACCTTCAACGTGAAGTCGGGCAACAGTCCTAATGCTCTCATCGTCAACGACCACACAGCTGTATTCTGCGTCGTCCTGGAGTTCAATGACGAGCACAGACAGGAAGTGCACCTTTCTATCCGAGTGCATCCTGTATTTGTCTCCAGAGAAAATCTCCATGTTGTTTTTCATCCATTTCATTTTCACGAAAGGCTCGTTGGTTTCACACTCAAAGGTCACCATGGTATCCTTTTCATTTGCACTGACATCTTCAAGGTGTTCGGTGAAGTTAATAGCAGTCTTGGCTTTAACGAGAAACAGTAGGACCAGTTTACTTTCATCATAGTGAGACAACATGAGTACACTTAAATACAAATGTTTGTTATATTTTAAAAGCAGTTGAATTTTTCATATTGATAATATTGAAAATGCCAATATAACTTATTAGAATGATACTATTTATGAGAATGTTTTTTTCAGTTTATTACTCAAGATCTTTTATATTTTGTTTTACCGAAGGAGTTTAAACATACCCATAGATTATAATCTCCTAAACCATTACATTTCTACTTTATATGTTTAATGTGTTTCTGTATATGATCATAAGTTGTGATCATACCTTGCACCAACAGGAAGGCGTGGCTGGAGGACTCCCCAGCCACGTTGGCTGCTTTGACCATGATGCTGGCAGAGTCCTCAACGGTGCAGTCCCTGATGACCAGCTCACACACGTTGTCTTCGGTCCAGTACCAGTAGATCCGGTCGCTCTTCTCCAGGGGAATGCCGTTCTTGAACCACTGGCACTCGGGCTCGGGTCTGCCCACTACTCTCAGTCTGAAGCGGACTTCATCCATGGGGCCAACAGTCTGGCTTTTGATGCGTTCGATGATCTTAGGAGCTTCCATGGACGGGGACAACTGAATTCTGTCGGGTTTAAAAGTGGGGATTGTGACCTGCCCCTGTTCTTCCAGTCTTCTTCTCTCTTCCTCTTCCTTCTCTTTCAAGTGATGCAGGAGATCGTCTTTGGTCTTTTTCAGAAGATCTTCATAAGACTCATCTCTCTTGCGGCTCTTGGACTCAACAGCCGAGATGGATTCGTAGAAACCTTCCTCTGTTCTACGTTTAAACTTGCTCTTAAGCTCTTCTGTCTCCTCTGAGGTTTTCTCATGGACAATTCTCTGTGTTTTTTTCAGTTTAACCACTTCCCTCTCTAGTGAAGACTCGCTTGCCCTCTCCACTTTGACTACATCGAAGCTCATTCTTCCAATGTCATGCCCTGCATCTATGGGCTTTGAATCAGGGGCGCGGCGAAGTACAGATCTAAAATCTTCCTTCTGTGTTATTTCCAATTTCACAGTGTGTTCATTTGTACCAAGTGGGTTGTCAGCTACTACTCTGACCTCACCTGCATCATATTGCTTGATGTCAACAATCTCTAGGTAGTAAATACCATCGTAACGCAGTCTGTACCTCTTGCTTTTGCGAATGAGCTGGCCATTGAGATACCAGTTAACTTTGGGTGCTGGATATCCGGTGACTCTACAGCGGAATCGGGCAATCTCTCCTTCAACCACACAGGCTGGTTCAGGAAGCAGCACAATTTCAGGTTTGGTCTTTTCACATTCTTCATCAGCACTGACTCCTGCAGGGCCTCCTTCACGTGCATAGCGTTCAATATCATCCACTCTGGTGCTTTTTCTGCCTTCAGGAAGCTGGGACTCCTCAACCAGGCCTTTTTCATCTTTGACAATCAGTGTTGCAGATGTCTGGTCAACTCCAAATTTGTTACTAGCTCTGCATGTGATGACACCACTATCCCTGGCATAAGCAACCTCATAGTCAAGGCTGCAGTATCCAAACTCATTGACCATTCTCAGTCGGTTTGCAGCAGCCAGGGGTTTGCCGTCATGGAGCCACTCTACCACCATAGTGGGGTCTCCGATGGGAGTCAGCCTGCACTCAAAATGGGCTGGACCAAAGCGCTTCATTCTTATGGAAGTAAGTTTCTTTTTGAACTGTGGTTTCTGTTGCTTTTCCTTATCATAAAGGTCGCCCTCTTCCCACTGCTCTTGGCCATAGCGCTGGTGAAGAGGCTCCAGCTCTGGGGCGGCGATGTCTTTCGCTTTGTAGGTTCCTCTAGTAACAATGAGCTTTCTCTCAGCTTGTGGTGCAGCAAAGTCTGCTTCCACATTGACTCTACAGCGGGTGGTGTCTCTGCCTGCTTTATTGATAGCTGTGGCTGTGTACCAAGCACTGTCTGTGGTGGCAGCTGCAGGGATCTGGAATTTTGCTTCTCCCTTAGTGCCCTCAATTCTGCAATTCAACACAATTCAGTGAAAAAGAAGACCACAGATATTTTTTATCAAATGGAAAGCATCAGTACCTGATCTGTGGGTGCTTGTGTGGGCTGATGATGTCGCTGTTTTTCAGCCACACAATATCAGGCAGAGGGTTTCCCATGGCTTTAACAGCCAGCTCAACCAGAGTTCCCTGTTTGACTGTAATGTTCTTCAGCTTCTCTACAAACTGAGGACGAGCAAGGCTTTCACGAGCTTTGAGCAAAAGAAAAAAGATAATATATTAACAAGTAAAGCAAGGCAGAAGTAGATTAAAGGTTGTGAAAAATCTACCTTCTACTGTGAGATTAACAGAGACTGTAGTGCGTCCAGCTCTGTTCTGTGCAACAACAGTCCACTCTCCAGAATCTTTAGGCATTGCAGGAACGATGATCAAGGATTGAATACCATCCTCTTTGATGACAATCTTGTGGGTATAGTCATTCACCACTTGTTGTCCTGGATACAGAAAAAATAAAAAATATATCATCTAATGTTTAAAAGCACAAAGTTTATGTCATCTCTTACCATTGTGGAACCAGTACGTCTCAGGCATTGGTCTGCCAACTACCTTGAGGTCAAATCTTGCGGTCTGTCCTTCAGAGCATTTAATGGAAGTGGGTTTCAACACAAAGACAGGCTTGTAGAGTCTCTCTAGCTGAGCTTCATCTGTCTCCTCAAGTCTACGGGCTGGAGAACGCCCAGGGGAGCGGCTCGGAGAGCGGCCAGGGGAACGGCTCAATGAGCGAGGAGATGTAGATCTGAAAGCACATTGAAAAGTATGTTACAGTTTATGTTTAGCTAATTTGCTAAAGATTCCAAAAGTGGTGACATATTTTCTAACCTGATTCTCTGCATTGCAGGCTGTGGAGTATATCGCTGAGGAGTTACAACTCCAGAGGGCTCCACATAAAGTTTTCCGGAGCTGACAACATTTCCCTTCATGTTGCTCCCAAAAGCCGTATAGACACCTTCATCCTCTGGGAGTACAACAGAGAGGCGAAGACTGGCACGACCATCCTGAAGAACCTCCATCTGGTGACGTCCTCCAGGTCTGATGCGCTGGCCATCTTTGAACCACACAATCTGAACACAAACACAATAGATAAATAATACAATATGTAGCCAACATACATTTTTTTATTTCTGTTATTTTTCGAATACCTTTGGCAGAGGCTTTCCTGCCACCTTGCAATGGAAAGTGACTCCCATTCCGTCAACAATTCTGTAGTTTTTGACTGGAGTTTCAAAAGCCGGCTGCACAACCTCATGTTCAGCAATAGTCACCATCTGCTCCCCGTCTTCAATCACCAACTCCATGTAAGAAATTCTCATAATGCGCAGCTCAATCTCCTGGATGATTCTCTCCTCAAAGGAAGACACCATAAATTCCTGTGAGAGAAAAAAGCAGCTTGTAGTGTGCTGTAAAACTTTAATGTTGCAATGTTGTAAGTTTTACCGTTTCAGATATGAAGCTCATAGGAGTTGTCATCCTCCTCTGCTCCATCTCTTGTTGACTCACAATCACAGTGGGCTCCTGCACCACTGCAGTAGTCACTTCTGTCTTATATGTCACGTCATGTTGCTTCATGTAGCTTTCATATTGCTCTGACAAGTACCAAAAGCAAAATCATTATGTGACTTTGAATCAGTTTAATAACTTTCATTTGTAGCAACAATACCTTCTTCCATCAAAATAGCAATTGCAGAAGCTTCTCCCTGTTGGTTCTTGGCATGAACTGAATACTCTCCTGCGTCATCAGCAAAGGTCATAGAGATCTCCAATCGGCATTCGCCAGTCTCTTTCTTATAAGCAACTTTGTATCTAATAAAGGGAACAAAAACATGTTGTAGATAGATTTTCAAAAAGCCTCAACATATCCTGAGTTATATGTTTTACCTGTATCCGGTAGTAAGAGGCACACCACTCTTCTTCCAGATGATGTGAGGTTTGGGGTTCCCTCCAATCTGGCAGTCGAAAAAAACACTGCCTCCTTCCACCAGCTTCTGGACACCAGGCTTCTTCATAAAGTATGGAGCAGCAGCCTCACCAGTGCTAACCACCTCTGTCACAGTTTGTGTATTTGTCTCCAAGGAAACACTGAGAAAAGCTCAAATTAAAATATGTTTTTTTTTGTTTTGTTTTTTTTTTTACAGATGTTTTTCTTTCTTTTTCCTACTTACATTTTCTCTTGTGTAATTCCAGTTTGAGAGAGAGTAATTTCATCCCTGCTCTCAATTTCTTCAGAAACTGTTGAAAACACAATATTTTTTTCTCATGTGGAAAAGAAAGAATAACAGGGTGTATTTAACTACCTTTAACAAGCAAGTAGCAGGAAGTGGTGACAGTGCCAGCTTCGCTTGTGGCTGTGCAGGTAAACCGACCACTGTCCTCGGCAAAGGCCTCGCGGATCACCATTCGGGCATATCCGCTTTCATAGCTGAGCTGGAAGTCGATGGAGCTCTCAATTTTGTAGTCCTCTCTGAACCACATGATCGTAGGGGTGGGGTGACCACTGATCTGGCATTGCAGGGTCACCGACTCACCCTCTGTTACAGTCACATTCTTTAGTCCCTGATCAAGAAAAAAAACATGATTAACAAAGATGTAAAGATTGGTGATTTTCTGATGGATGTGTGCATGTGAATGTTATAGATTTTGGTAAAGCTTCCTATACTTTTCTAGTTATTATGTAGAAAGTAAAAAAATAACACAAAAAACTCTCACAACTGGGACAGAGGATGTCTTTGCTAAGGTGAAACTACATCTATAGGGCACAATAATATACTAGAGACCTAGTTGGTAACAAATTCTAAAATACTTACTATAAAAAAACTAAATAAATTACTATTTAAAACATAAAATGGATATGAATCTTGTGATAAAAGAGCTAATAATCTGTCCACTATGAACTCAATCGGCTGATTTAGTATTACATTACAATTAATTAAGCGCTACACTATACTTTACACTTTTATTTAAAGTCAATTTACACTATAAATTGACTTACAGCAATAATTGTTGGGGGAACAACCTGTTCCTGGGCTCTTGTTGGCACAGCAACAATCTCCTGAAAATAAAACACAAGATAAAACTGAATAACGGTGAAAATACATGTTCTTTCAGTCTGCCATGTAGAAGGGGAGTGAAGGTTAGCAGGGTGTAACACCTTGTGGACAAACGACAATGGAAAGAAGTGAAGGAGAGGGCAGTCCATGTGAAGCAGTGGAACAACGAAAAGGCCAAAATGAGGAATGAAAAGTATTATGTCAAAGGTGAACAGAAAAATATACAGCATTGGATCCAAGCTATGACTTTTAGAAATGGAGGAAGATGATGTTAAGTTGGGTAGCACAGTTGTTCTCAAACCATGTTATTTCTGATTCCCCCAGAGCTGCTGCTAGCATTTTATCAAATAGACACCAGTAGAAAACTTTTATGTTGTAATTGGTTGTATTTGGCATTTTAATGTTTTGTATTAATACACGTATCCTAAGCTCACTGTGGAACAAATGTCTCATTGTAAGGTTTTGCAATTATTTCGTACAGACCCAATACTGGTGGCATTGGAAAATTATATATTATCTGCAACTTGGTGAGAAAGGTTTGAGAACCACTGCTCAAGCACACGTACAAGAAAACAGTGAAACGGACAGAACATCCCAGATAGAAGAAGGAAATGATCTTGATGATGACACATTGTGATTGGGTGCTGGCGGGGGAAGTGTTATCACGGTTGCTTGTGGAAAGGGGTCACCAACCTGTGGCTCCCAGTCCTCAAATTCCTCCTCACTGACCGCCCCTCCTGCTTGAATCTTTACTTGGCTTTGATATTTGGGGTCTTTAAATGGTGGCAAGAAGGGCTCAATGGGAGTAGGAGTCTCCACGAGTGCTTTGCGAGACGGGGTGGGAGACCTCACAGGTTTGATGACTTTTCTGGGAGCGGTTGGAGATGACAATTCTTTGTAAAGAGTGGCTACAGCTGTGCCAGCAATGGACACCTGACCAAGAAGAAAGTTAACCATCAAAAATAAAATTAAAATAATGTCAAGTTTGTTGTGATTACTACAATATGAACGTTGGGCCTTTATTATTGTGTATTAATGGAAAAGTTAAAACTAAAAAATGAAAAAAAAAAAAAAAAATTAAGTGCACATTATAACTATGCAATTCTTGAGGTTTTTGGATATCAGTAGGGAGGAGGTCTCTATGTTAAAATGACAGTGTGTTAAAGATGGGATGAAGTCTTCTAAGATGGCGGCAGGCTTGAAGTCCTCTTCTTACCTCTGGGCCGTGCTCAGCTTTGGGAACAGTCACTTTAGAAACAGTAAAATGTGGAACTGGGCTTGGACTTGCACCTGATTCCACTTGAGAAGATATTTCACTTGTTTTCTGGATCTGAAGTGATCAATAAAGCTGTTACTTAACTACATTTCTATTTAGTTTAACTAAACAGGTATGTATGGGGCTCTTCAGACCTGTGTCATTTGTGCTGTTTCTTGTTTCACTACAGCAGTGGCTGCTGCCTCAGTGGCTGCCGCTTCAGTTTTGATTTGTGTGATCTTTTTTTCAGCTTTGGTTATCATCTCAGCAGGCTGCTCCTCCTCTACTGCACCTCCCTCCTCATGCACAGGGAGGCGCACACGAGCCAGGTCAACAGCAGCTAGGACAGTGGCCACAGCCTCTGCCTTTTTCCCTTCCTCAGCCTGAGGCACAGGCTGCCATGAAGACAGGAGGTTTGAAGGTTAGCCAAAAAAACAAACATGTGAGAAGCTTGTCACTGCGTTCATTTTACAACATTTTTACTAAAGACATTAGTGAAGTATATACAAGATTACACATGAGGGATTCAAAAGGTTGTGTACCTGCTCCACAGGCATACTGAGTGCTGGCACAGCTCCTGCAACACTCTTTACAGAGAATGATAAATACAAGCATTCATTATGGATGAAACATTCAAATAATCCACTCTGCAAAACATGTCAAATGAATCCTCACCTCTCTGGTAGCAGTGACTTGCTGTTCCCAATGTTTCTCCATGTGCATCTGTGCAGCACTGCTCATGCTGGTCATGCTGGTCATCTGGCTGTAGCTGGCCTCAGACATATATTCACCCGACTTCCATGGTGGAAGCACCTCAGAGGAGGTCACCAGCTGTGTAATAATCAGATCAGATCAAACATGTTTGTCAATCATTAATATATAGTAATAATTCTAATACTAAAAACAAAATAGTATCCGTCAAACCTGTTTTCTTGCCATAATGGGAGACTTGACTGGTCTGATGGGGGAACCCGTGAATTTTGTGGATGGTGAAACTGATCTGTACCAGAGAAACACATTGGTATAGGCCCAATATTATGAATGCAATAGAATATAATATAATATTTTCCTATATATGTAAATATATATGTTGGTGTATTTTTCAAGGCTTAAACTACCTGACTGGTGCTGGGCCAGGGCCCTTCACATGTCTCACAGGTGAAGGTGACTGCTGGCGTCCCATCCTGGGGATTTGAGATGGGGGGGACCTGGAGGTGGGCTTTGGGGGAACCCTTGGTGGGGTTTTATGAGCAACATGTTGAGTCATCATCATTCCTCCTTCTACATGCATCTCCATCATTGTAGTTGCCTGGAAGCTTGCTTCCATTTTCTGAAATATGCACAAATAAAATGTTAGTGCTTATGTGGCAAATATTTTTTGAAACACGGAAGTCATTGTAAAAGATAAATATATAGAAATACCCTTTCAACTCTTGAGGTCTGTGAGGAGCCCATTTGAGCTGTCGACATAATCATCTTTGTTTTCTTGATTGGTACAGGTTCTTCTCCTGTTTTCAGACACAAAAGGCACTGATAAGTCATTGAAACATTGAGGTGGAGTAAATAATGTTTGAAAGACTAACCTTGTACAAGCAGTTCAGAAGTGCAGGTGGCTCGTCCACTGCTGTTAGTTGCAGATACTGAGTATGTGCCTGAATCTTCGGGAAAGGCCTCAGCGATCAGCAGGCTGTACAGATCTCCTTCCTGGAGGATCCTGAAGTCAGCTGAGCTCTGGATCTCTGCTCCCTCTCTGTAAAACTTGACCACAGGGCTGGGGATTCCAGTGACACGGACATCCAGGCGCACCTGGCTGCCCTGTCGTACTGTGGAACTCTGGAGTCTCTGAAGGAAGTTAGGGGGCGCCGTCTCCGCTGTAGTAGGAGAAGAATTAGGATTTGGTTGTTGCTTAAGGCTTACATTACAATTAAACGCATAAGCAAATATATTTCATGTGACATGGGATAAAAAACATGTATTGGGTTTCTAATGACAGCAGCACCAATATACATTTGATATATATTTGACATATGTGGCAAACTGATTATTAGCATCTAAAAATGTGTCACCCTCCTTTGAAAATAGTTTTCCAGGAGTAAATTGAGAGTCTGACCTGTGACGAGGAGTTCAGCAGTGCTGGTGGCTTGTCCAGCTCCATTGGTGGCTCTGATAGAGAATCTCCCACTGTGTGCGGCGGTCACAGCAGGGATCCTCAGTACAGCACAGCCTCCACTGAACGACATGTGAATGCCGGGCAGAGCGGCTGCAGACAGAACCTGGCCATCACGGAACCAGCTCACCTCAGGAACTGGAGAACCTGCACAGCATGAACACAAACATTAACCCTGATCGTGCTACACTTTTCCCTACAAAGAGTAATAATATTTATGACATATCTAACTATATTTATAGTAGACCTTATGAAAGACATGAAACAAGTAATATTAAATTCTGGCCATCTATATTGTTGCTACCATTTAATGTTAATAAAGCATTTTACTAATATACAGTATATCTTATATTTCTTTATTACACAGCTCTTCACAGCAGCAGTAGAACGCTCCATTGATTTGAACGTAATTTCAACACGTTCTACCGATCATAATTTCTTGATAACGGACCTCTCAAAAGAATAATGACTGCTGCCCATGGCAACACAACCTCTGCTTGTAATTCACATGTGTAGATTACTCCGCAAGTAGTCCGGCCACTTCGTCGCTAGCCACGCTCAATAAACGCAAATATCAATCAACGAACACATTTAAATGTTAATCGAAGAATACTTCATACATACATTCGTAACACACATGCACAGAGGTTTTAAGAAGTATCTGTTGAGGTTTTCATGACAAAAATACTGTTTTAATGCGAGAAAAAAACCTGGAAGTTGATTCTGGGACATTTTAGGACACATTTGCAGAGGATCGAAATATGGATTTAGGTTGAGTTTATAAGAACCTTTAAAATAAGAACCTTATTCGGTACTTATTTTCCGTTAATGACCTGCGCACTATACATTATCCCTTACTTATTAATTTGAAATATTTAGTTGGAACTCTGTTTAGACAGAGCCACATTAGTGCTCCCCTGCACATTGGTGATGTAATAGACAGCCTAAAGGAAATAAATTAAGCAATAATGTACTTTTTCACAAGAATGCAGGAAACTTTGAATGCCCAACATCAGAATGTCTTGATAAGAAATTTGTTGTAATCTCTGGTTTGAAATGAAGTATAAATTACATATTTGTTTAGTAGTAAATCAAAGTGGTGATGGGAAGCCGAGGAGTGTGAAACGTACCACTGACTTGGGCCTCGAACGTCGCGGCACTACCCTCTAGTGCGACGACGCTCTGAAGAGGCTGTGTGAAAGTTGGCGCTTGTGTCGTCATGGTGATGGCACCCTGCAAAGAACACACCATGAGTTTAATATACATGATCAAAAGGACAAAAAAGGATACCACTACAAGTAAGTAGTAGTAAGTATTTATTTATATACCGCCTTTTCACTGCAGATCTGAGTCTCAAAGCGGTTTACAATTGTTAATTTTTGGGCATTTGTCTCTCACTCCACACAGAGATGGGAGCGCGGTCGCCAGTACAGGAGGCGCATGCTAGAACTATTGGACATATTTTTAGTGGTAGGGGAAACCGGAGTACCCGGAGGAAACCTACGCAGACACGGGGAGAACATGCAAACTCCACTCAGAAAGGCCCTGGTCCGACCGGGATTCGAACCCAGGACCTTCTTGCTGAGAGGCGAGAGTGCTATCCACTCAGCCACCGTGCCGCCCCAGGCAGCCAACCTGCAAGCAGCCAACCTGCCAATACATGAAATAAATGGCTTCTATTGATCTTCAAAATGCTACAGTAAATACCACATAATCCTCATTTGCTGCCAGTGTGCAGTAGACTAATTCAGTCCTGGTTTAACAATCGAGTATAGTCACTAATAACAATTATGCTATGTTGTGTCTGTAAACTAGCCACCAAATGACATTGTTAACAGAAAGTGTAAAGCTGTACAACACAAACTGTAAAGTTACCAGCATTGTCATGGTCTTCATGTTCACATACTCATAATTATCCCTGGATAGTTGCATTGACAGAGCTTAGTGATACTTTGCAGTAGCTTTATTCAATTAATCATGAACTAAAATTATGATGTCTTTTGAATTGCAACTTCAAACTCAAAAAGAAGGAAAACATCACTTAATTTAACTTAATTTACAAATGTACTTTAGTGTTCCCAAAAAACAACATAATCTTTATAAAAAAAAAACATACACAAAAGTAAGATAATTGGTAATGTGAATGCAGCATGGGTAATCCATTTATGAAGCCATGTATATTTCAGTATTTTAGGTATTTCATAACACTTTAAAGCAACTGTGGTTAAAGTTCTAACTCATCATTCTAACATATGTATAAGCCAGTACTTTTCCACTGCATGTTTTGGTTACTCAAGGTTGAAGCTGCTGGCACCATGGCAGCTGCTGATTGGAGGACTTCATTCCTCCATGCTGTAAAATACACTTGCATTCTGTAACGTTCGTGTTCGTGATGCTGTCTCTATCATCGACAATAAAACATGTTTTCTGTCTGAATTAAAGACACGATCCCAGACTTTGTCATCTTCTTCAGGATCTTGTTACAATATACATTTTTCTACGTACCAAGGCCTATAGGAATGACAAGGATGTAAAATTTAGTTTTTTGGTAAATTTTGGTGGTGGCACCTCACAGGTGTGGAAAATCAGCATGATGATAAGACAGCAGGGGTAAATGGTACATGAGCAATGTTCTAATGTAGTTCAATGCAACACAATAACAGATCAGTGTGAAACAGTAACAGTTTTTATAAAAATGAACCAACTACTTGAGTTAATTACATAATAACATCAGTATTTGATTTGATCTGAGCCTTACACTAGCTAGGATACGGTTTCAGAACAATGACAAGATAGCTAGGACACACTAGCTAGGATACAGTTTCAGAACAATGACAAGATAGCTAGGACACACTAGCTAGGATACAGTTTCAGAACAATGACAAGATAGCTAGGACACACTAGCTAGGATACGGTTTCAGAACAATGACAGGATAGCTAGGATTCACTAGCTAGGATACAGTTTCAGAACAATGGCAGGATAGCTAGGATACACTAGCTAGGATACGGTCTCAGAACAATGGCAGGATAGCTAGGATACACTAGCTAGGATACGGTCTCAGAACAATGACAGGATAGGACCAATGGCATAGGACCTGGTTTTTGCCAAATATCCCATGATACAATACAGTTATATGTGACTGAGGCTACGATCTACAAAACACTTCTTCTCATTACAATACATAGCCTTGATACATAGGTACAAAACAATAGTTTAAGAATTACAGAATCTAACACATTTGTTTTTATCCAAATTAGAGGAAGTGTGCGTGGATAGGAAAGTCTGGATGGCTCTGCTTCATTCAGCTCCCTCTGCGACCAGGCACAGATAAAGTGGAAGAAGATGGATGTAGCCTCTCTGTATCAATATTGCACTATCAATATTTTAAGTATAACAATGAATAAAAACTACCTATTATTACTTTTGGATGAGGTAAAATCCATGAACTCGAGCAAAAAACAACTCTGGGTTAGCATTTGATCAAGAAATCAGATCATTAATTGGTTAAATGCTCAGAGAGGATTATAAGAAAGTGATTCTTATAGACAACCAAAACTATTACTCAACGTTCTCTATAATGCACATATAATGTAGTCTACTTAACCCCAAAGTGACCCGTTACGAGACACTTCCTGCCTGCTGTTGTGTTATCTGCGCTGACAGTGATTCTGGCTGTGGAATAGGTTGACGGTCTGATCCTTGGCTCTATTTTTAGCCGTGTCTGGCCGAGAGTCCCTGATAGATGAGAAGTTGATCCTGGGGGGCTTCAAAGCAGATTAAAGCACCTGTCCTGACCCCTCACATTTTCTCTAATGTTTCACAGCAGTTATTTGTTTACAAAATATTATCGATGAAAGACTAATATTTCTTAGATGAAGAACTGTAATGTACCAGTACTTATTCAAAGTATATCTAAGGTGCCTAAAGTTATATATCATTTTATAATTATTTAAAAACAAATAGACAGAAGAAATAAGTAAGTTATGTGTGGTGAGTTGTTTGAGATGTGTAAGGAAGTATAAGTATACGATTTCATAATAAAGGGCCTTAATTTCATCAAATGGTATTGATACACTTTTATAACTTTGAACGTTGTGAGTATAAGCTGTCGTTTATATTGGATATAGCTGTGCTTTGCTTCTGGCTAATCACAAGGGTTCAAGATAAAACGTCATGGGTTAGGGACATTTCTTTTTAATCTAATGGTCCTAATGATTTTTAGTTCTGACCACCTCAGCCATCATTACCTGGTTTTGACCTGGGGCACATGATTTTAGAGTTGGCCACTGTCACTAAAAATCATTTTTGAATGAAGATTGTTCTGATAAACAATAATATACTCCTATAGGAAGCTGAGGACTTTTGTCTTCTTAGGGTTAGGTGTTATATTTCAAAAGTGTCAGGAGGCCCCATACATTAACGCTGGGGCTCATGGAGAGCTTTTCGCCTCTCAACAGGCACGAGGGATCAGGCTTGGGGACGGCAAGGGCTGTGATTGGTCTTGGTAGGAAAGCAAAGGGAGATGAGGCAGAGAGGGAGACTGGGAGACCCGTGTCTGCGTCACTCGACAGCTTTAAGATGAGAGCATGTCCAAAACCATGTTTATCAGATATAAGTCCTCATTTAGCACCATAATTACACTACACACAAGTGCAGATAGCCCTGTGCTTCAGGAGAACGCCTTTATCTCTCCTTGCACCACAGCCATAAACCACAACTGAATGTGGAGTGAACGAATAATGTTTGTGAAATGTCTCATAAAAAGTGTTATTCGTCCATCGCCAACATCCGTGTTTCAATGATTTTCAGCTTGAACAATAACAGCAGACTCTTGGAAGCATGACAAGCAAACAAGGTTACCATTGTTGTTATCATACTGTTTCCTTCTGATCCTGCTGATCAGAAGGGAACATTGTGTTCGCGTCTCTGGCGCCAGAAGGAAGAAGTCTCCACAGGCTTGGATATAGAAGATTTTTATATACAAATAGAAAAAAACCTATATCACAACCTTATAGCAACCCTTTTCATTGTTGTGCTTTGTTAAATTCGAGAAGAGGTCATTCAGAAGACAGACCAGGAGAGAGCAGGGGACTAGGCACAACATGAAAGTCGACAGACTGCCGAATGACAGAAAAAAAAATACAAATATCCCATCACTAATCAATAAATAGTGACCCCTAAATTACATAAGCCCAGCTTCATCAAGTCAATTACTAGCAGCCATTTACAACGTAATGTTCTATGGTCGTTTAATCAGTATGTACACTTTCAAAGAATTTCCCTGTAGAGATGAATATTAAATATAAATGTAATCAAAATATAGCACACATATCAATAGTTATTCACCACTTTGTCGTAGGTTGGCAAAGATCAAATACTACAAATCACATTTATAATACAAAAGGCTTAAAAAACAAAGCAGCTGATTTGATATTTCTTGTCTTTTCTAAACTTTGAGCTGATGAGCTGTTGCCTATTTCATTTTATACTATTTATGTCGCGCCACCTGCACAAGAAAGTCTGATCCCAGTGGATCTCAATACGGGCAAGGCCTGGTTAGTTCTGTGATTGGAGTCCTATGGGAACATCAGGTGCCACAGTGGAGCAGCTGTAGCTGTAAAGTGCCAAACTGTTGTGTCCTGAGGCAAGGCATTTTATCCACATTGCATAGTGGTTGGTGGAGGTCGGAGGGCCCGATGGCACACCTGTTTCTGTCAGTGAAGTGTAGCTATGGCTACAGTAGTAGTTTACATCACTACAGTTTGGACAAACAATGCCATGTGAAGCGTCTTTTAGTGTCCAAAACGGCACTAAGATATCTAATGTGGGAATGTTTAGACCTATACAGTCAGTTATCCACACAGATAGTTTTTCTTTTAGCTGGATAAATAGATTACGAGCAGAATACAAAGAAAAAAGCTTAATATTAGTGTATATTGTAAATATGACAGTGTTTGTTTGACTGGTAATTTTATGTCATGTCATAACATTAAACAGAAACTACATTAAAAAAAACTATAACTAAAAATACTTTAATAATGTTGAAGCAATATTATCCCATAAGGACCCATTGTGACACAGTTGTCAAACACAATCTAAATGCTCCAGAAAAGATTTAAGTGTAACTTAAATCTTGGTTTCAATTGATGAAGTCCCATAGTTAAACCTACAGTATGTAACATACTGGAAAAGTTACGAGACAGGATGTTAGTTGTTGTCCTTTTAGCATAACTTTAGCTCTGGTTAGCGAACCTGATTTTACAAAAACATAAAATTAGAAACCTGCCAGCATATTGTACATCATACTTGTGAAAAATTGTGGTGTTCAATCATATCAAATAAATGTATTTTTGTACATCCCAAAATCACAACAGCGGTTGTCTCGAAGGACTTTGTTGATTCACCAAAAGCAGCAGCAGACACTTCCACAAACGCGTGATTCTTGGTTTTCCTGTTTTTGTCTCTGTTCTACGATGCACAAACATTTACTTTCTCTACTGTTATTTAAAAAAAAAAAAAAAAAAAAGGCTGTTAACAGTTTGACAATTTTATTATATTTATCAGCCCAGAGCTAAACGTAAAGTAAAGTAAAATAGCATGTGCAATTTTTGTGGTTTAATTGAATATCTGTATAGATCTATCTGCCCACTTTATCACCTAACCCTATGAACCAAATTGGTCATACAATGCAGCTAATCTGTATCAAACTCTGAAATAAAAATATACACAACTAACTGCAAGTGCTGGGACGAACAATTATTTTGATAATTGGTTAATTTAGCTATGTTGTCGGCTACAGCCCAAGGTAAAACAGATAAATGTGGGTACCACAAGGCTGCAACATTTGATCATTTCAGGAATTTGATATAAATAAAAGTTCCACAATGTTATTCCAAGTCTATGTTATTACTTAGAAATCAATACAGAAGATGCTTAATAGAATATACAAATCTAACAAATACTAATATTAGGGCAAGATATTGTTATCTTTATCGAAATATGTATCGTAGTTTGTGCAAGGGATAGCATCGCCAAGAATAGGTTTTACCCGATGACAAATGCTAAAGGAGAGACAGATGGGGTTAGTTTATTAAAAGCTCTTGGGTGCCAGGGTAAACTCCAGTGATTCAGCGTTATGAATATGAATACATGGGTACACTCTACTCTCTCTTCCAACCCTTAAAATGAACTGTATGTATTTAAACATATTTGCATTTCTCAATCCAGTCGCCTCATTCCTGAATAAAACAGTGTGGGGCAATAATTGCCAGCTGAAACTAAATACCAAATAACTGATTACTCTTTAATCATCACTAAAACACTAAGCCGTATATGTCTTGTTTCTTGGTGACTTTGTTACTTACGTGGCAATAAAAATGATTCTGATTCTGATTCTATACTTCTTTTTCTATACTCATAAAACAATGACCCTAAGGTAAAGGTCAGGTTGCCATTTTGACCACAAACAAGATGGCGGACCCAGTCTAAACAGATACCCAACTACTGTCTTTTCAAACACAGAGCTCAAATTTACAGTGTTTAATCTAAATGATGATATTAGAGACATTACTATGATGAGAGACCATGTTTGGTGGCTATATCAGGTGAGAATGGTGTCCTCTTAAAGAAAATGCAATTTTGTGTCATCGGGATCAACGTCTACTGGCCCTTATTAAAATCATATGGACTAAGCCAACATTATCATCAACTGTGACTAGCTAATTCAAAATGTAGACAAAATGTTCAATGTTCAAAATGTATCTAAGAGGAAGCATACCAGCTACATGAAAAATTAATCCACGTTCACAGATTAACAGAATCTTGTGATTCTGAACGTAAAAATTATTCCAATTTCCAGACCTTTTGAAACTCAATTGTGCATAGGGCCATGATCATAGCAACTGCTTTTATTAACATTCTTGGTTTACAATCGGTGTGATAAGAAAAGTGAATTTTCTATATTCTATCAATGGGGAAATAGTAATTTACATCATTCTGTATTACTTTATTTATTTTTAAAAAATAGTAGTCTGTTTTACATCTTTATATTATACTAAATTCCAGGCTAACATGTTGCTATTAGTTATTGGATTAAAATAACATTTGAATCATCTCCATAGTCATTTCCTCTAAGCACCGCTCTTTCCTATTGTCCCAGTTGGGTGTCACATAACAACCTGGTTTATCTAAGCCAGGACACCAGACCCTAAAAATACTGCCCACCCGGCCCCCTCCGGACCCCTTCCGTGATTGACAACCACCATGTGCCACATAGCTGGAGGAGCAACTGATAGCTCCAGGCCTGCTGATTCCCTTAAAAAGCCATGGCCCCCCAGCTGACAGACCACACTAATGCTATCAGCGGCTATTCTGGGACGTCCCATTTTAACCTTCAGAGGGGGAATAACTTCAATAAAACTCTACAAAATGCTGTTAAAGATAGAAACATATCAGCAAAGTGTTGTGGAAGTTTGCCTTCTACTGCTTTTGGGAGTGTCACTCAGCTGCCACATGTCAATCACTGCATTTTGACACTTACTTGTTGGTACAAGGATGCCGGGGGGGATGCCCAGGGGAGGGCTGACTTCAGGAAGTGGGTCTCTATCCGAAATGGTGTTCAGAAAATCCCAAAATGAGAAGAGTTGTGCCTCGTAGAAGAAACCCCAAAGAAAAAAACAAAACTACAGACAGATTGTAGTTTTGTTTTTCCTCCTGACAGCAGTCCCTCCAGCCGAGGCGTCCAGGCCGGGAACTCTGCTCAGAGGCGGCACGGGAGCCATGGGGGGTTTTATACGCCTGTGATGTCATCGCCAGGAGGGGCACCCAATTGGCCGGGACTTGTGGAGGAGCATGGGGAAACAGGGAAGACATTTCAGTTTTGAAAAAATCACTTTAGAGTAAAGAGGACCTTTATTCATGGGGACATTTATGAGTCGCTGGGCACCTGACAGAACAATAGGATACAAGAAGCAAATAGCTGTGATATTTAGAGAATAATTCAAAACAATATTATCTAATATCTTATATCCATAATGAAGTATCGATCTAATACATTTAGAATCCCTTTTATACCTTTTGAGAGATATTTATTTAACTATAAGAAGTATATGTGCTATGTTTTTACTGTATTATGTTAAGTATTAAATAAAAAATTCACAGCATAAGTAAATTGTTGTTGGCAATTGGTAAACTGATTCATGAACATATACTAATACTTACTTTTTTTTTTCTTGAACAAATTCTGACAACAGGCGCGCTCACTTGGTAAAGTCTGCTGATTTAGAATATAACACCTATATTGACAGTGACACACATCTAAAGAGTAATTTGTACTAACATAATAATAATACATAAACTGAAAACATAACTCATGCAAAGTCTGCACATGATAGCCTTTTGTATCCCTCACTGACTTCAGCCATGCCCTAAGATAAGATAATGAAAATAAAACTATAATAGCACTTGCTTCAAGGATAATACACTAGTTTACACTGTAGTGAGCGGGAGGTATTACAGATGTTTATATTGTCCTTTAGCAGCAGAAAATAAAAATAAACAATAGTAATAACAGCAGCGGGTAAAGTGATGAGTGGAGTAACTGGAGTATGTAATAATGTAGTAATAATAACAAGTAAAGTGACTAGTGGTGATTATCAGAACCTCCTGCTGGTGCTTAGAGTCAGAACTAACTATGCATTTTGGAATTGTATTGATAAATATGATTTTAATAACATTATTTTATTGTTTTAATATTCATTAATATCCATTATTGTTAACTGGTCTACAGACTCCACCTTCATTCATTGTGTTGCTGTAGCTAAATACCTGTTCCCAAAACTTAACGTTATATATTTCTTTCCCCTGTGCGTACCGGTACCTACAATAGTGACCTATGCAGTTTGTGTTGACTGAGCATTAAGCGTAAAAAAAAAAATCGTATTCGTTTACCTTGGAAAATATATTTTCTGGGGTGGCGTGACAGTTGCTAACCCGTTTAAATCTAGCTAGCTTTAGCTTTAGCTAACACTCGTAAAGTAGTGAAGAACAAGATCGTTTTTCAAACATTATCGTCCAGAATAAACAGCAATAATACATTTGTTACTTACAGTTCTAATATGTTTGCGTAGTAACTTTTTTAAAGTAATTTCCTACAGTGCGTCTTACCATCTTTGGGTCACGGAACCTGCTCAATGGACGCAACTCCAGCTTCCCCAAATAGCGCGTGTGTGTGGGTGCGTGCATGTATATTTTTTACATTTATTTACATGATAATAATAATATAAATAAACAATGATAAGAAAACTTAAACGTTTTTTCCATTTACTCTTTAATTAGGAGATTACTATGGTGACACAAAACATCTAAAATCATGAAAAGAACCATGTTGAGTGCAAGGAAAATCTATTACCACTGTAATATTAATATTAAACAATGTTAACAGTTGATGCAGAGGGATTCATGTAAAATGTACAATCCGAGCAAAGTAGGTTAACCATTATGCATGCATAAATAAGCCGAACACCTCAAATAGAATGTTATCATAATAACACACACACACACAAATATATATCATATATCATATATATGATTATATATATATATATATATATATATATATATATATATATATATATATACATATATATATATATATATATACATATATGTATATATGTATATATATATAAAACTTTTTTTTTTTCAGACTACAATCAAAATAAGTAACCACAGGACAAAACACAGTGTCCCAAACCAGGTCAGCCAGTCAGATGTAATAATATCATAAAAATCATCCATGAGTCCACTGTCTTCCCCATCAGTGTTGATTTTGTGCAGTAGTTTGTCTTCAGCTGTCAGCCAGGCCTCACACAGAGCTCCATCCAGCACTGTCCCCTCAGCACAGCTTTGGTTTCCAGCTAGGGTATCTTCCGCTCTTTCATCTTTACACCTGGAGCGACCATTACGACAATAAGTCAGACAGCCAAGAACAGGCCCTGCTCCTGTAAAATCTTAAGGACAGCACCTTGCCCAGTTAAACTAGGTACATTTATGGCATATAATGTTGTTTTCATTCTTAGTGACCAAACAGCTAATATGAGGAGTGTCAGTGGTAGACCTATACTACAGCCAATGGATATGTTAGCAAATGCAAAGCAAACTGTGGTTCATGGTGCGGTTGATAACATGCAATATATTAAGTAGTCAGCAGAGCAAAACTAGTGGAGAACAATGCAATGTGGGAAAAAATATATATTTTTAAACATATTAACCTATTATACTCACCTGTGAAATTATGTACCTTAAGATTAAGTTATGGTCAACTATTTTGAAGAAGAAACATTTACTGGCCTAAACAGACATATATGTATTTGTTCATAAAAAAAAAGTAACATTATATATCAGAACATTTTGTCAAAAAATAATATATAATAAAACATTTCTTTTCCAGGACCTGCCTGGATTTCACAAATATCCACTGGGGCTAATGTACTGCTTAGATAGTCATTAAAATTATCTCGTAATATATAAAATGTACAATACACCGAATTTCTTTTTGGAAAAGACCTCTTAACTGGCCATGCAATGACTGTTTATAGTGTGCTAATTTTACAGCCAAGGAACTGAGAAAACATTTATTTGGAAATTATTTTTAAAGTATAAACTTAAAGCATTGTTTAATATTTTAGTTATGTGTAATCTACTGTAAACCAAATGTACCTTTCTGGAGGTGATATGTCCCTCAAATAGTGCCCAGAAATAATCTTTTCATAAAAGTATTACAGACCAGAGCTTTCAGTTTTACAGGGAATACAGTATAAATACTATTTTATACTTGCCCCATTACCTCTCTAACATGGGATATGAAAACAAAAACAAAAAAACAACTACTGATGAAGCAAGCACTGTGGTTGCATTTCATGTAAACTTGTGAAGCTGGTTATACGCTACCCACCAGGTGAGCGTGGGCTCTGGCTGTCCTGTCACCTCCACCTCCAGCATCACTGGAGAGCCCTCCAGGACAGTGGCTTTAGACACTGGTTTGGTGAAGCAAGACTGATCCGGGCCGTGGGGTCGCATTGATGGACCTTTGATTTGAGGAGTGAGTGTAATCTCCTCGCGTATTGTGCAGGGCTGACAAATGTCTGGGTCTTGATCTGGAGTTAGTAGCTGATGGGAGGTAAAAGAAGGGGTGACATGCGTGTTAGCTGGTTGAGCCAAAGCTTGGGCCTTTGATTCGGGCAGCAGGGTGGCACCAAGTTGAGCGCTGGAAAAGCTGGAGTCATGCACACACTGCTGAGTGGAGGTTTTATGAAAGGAGTCCACTGTCTGGTTTTGCTCAGTGTTAGCAGTTGTGTTACTTGATGGATTTAAATGCTTTATAATGTCTGATTCTTGGGTAGTGGCGATGAATTGTGATGGACGAGCAAAGTTAATGGCAACGTTTTCAGAAGTTGTGGCTTCCTTTGACTGCTTATTTTGGCTCTTTAATTCATCCTTACATTCCATGCTTTGTTGTTGAAGACTGAGAATTTCACGGCCAGTTATTCCAGGTGATTTAAGATCTTCAACGATAATTTTATGAAGAGAAGGAGAGGCGCTCAAGGATGTTCCTGACACAGGCTTGATGATACCTTGGACTAAGGTTGTAGAAGATTGAGAATAGAGAGTTTCCTCTACGACTGCTGTGCTGCGGCAGCCTAATGACACTTCTGCTTTTGTTTCTGTATCTGTACTTGAACCATTTGCAGATATTTTGACATCATATGGAAATGTGTGTTCTTTTGATATCAACAAATCTACAGGGCAATTATTGCACTCCTGTTGAGTTGACTGTGATTCTATGCCTTCAAGAATGTTACCTGATTGGCCTTTTGGACAAATCTCAGATTTATTTGTATGACTACTTAATTTCACTTCCAAACAAGTTGTTTCTTGGCATACAGGGAATGATTTGGATGAATAATTTTCTGGCTGCAATTTCTGGGATTCATCAGATATATGGTTATTCAATATTGTAAAGGTGACATTTTGGGGAGAATTCTTGTCCTTGCGGGTTTGAACCAGGGGAATGGAATCAGCGGGTCTTGATGCTAGAGCTGTAATGTTATTGGATACAAAAGAAATAGCTTGTGCTGGTGTAATGCGGTTTTCTTCAGTCATGATGGTAAACTCGGCTTGAACTTGCGTTGGGATTTGGATGGTCAGAAGAGACGGGACAAATGTGCCAGATTCTGTTCTGACCCTGAAAAACAAACACAAAACATAATTTACAATCTGACATGTTTGATAGTCATCACAGTAAAGAGATCCTTGAATAGAGTGTGCAAGTTCATGCTCCTAGCCTTTGCCAAGACATACTGACCCCTGATTAAATGGCAAATGAATTTAAAATGACTTTGTACACCTCTAGGTCACTTCAAAATCTTGTCATTATCTAAAATCATACCATCATATTTTCTACTGGTAATGGCAGTATTTTTGTTAAGTTATAACAGTTTTTGCCAACTGCCAGATACTTATTTAGTCTGTACATTGGATAACAATAGTCGATTGGTTTTGAATAGACGTGACATTAGTCATTCCCTCTGCAATGCAGCTACAGCTGCCCAGTGGCAGACGGATGGAAGTCCCCTTCGACTACCAATCATTTACACTCACACCAGGAAAAGTGATCCTTCCTCAGGACACAATGACTATTTAACATTTTCAGCCACCCCACAGGTGTTCCCATCCCTCTCTCCCATCACAGTATACCAAGCCCCGCCCAGCTTAGCTGCTGAGATTTCACATGCAGGTGAGTCCACATTTATTTGGGTCAGTCCCAAATAAGGAAATTGAATATCAGAGTGTTCATATCACACTTTCGAACT